GGTTGGAAAACCCACGGTAAGACGTTCAATTGCGATATGTTGCCGTAACACATGTCGTTTAGTGGTTCTTATTGTAATTGTGAATTAGCTGGCATACGTAAAGGCGAAGAATCCTCCTACCGGTTAAAAATAGGCTACTCAAAGTAATCTGTGTTCACAAAATGGACAAGCTAGTTTTTAAAAACTTAAATATGTCAGACAAATAACTGAAGCTGCAAACGATGAGGCATCCTTTGTATCACTTTATATTTTAAAGAGAACTTTTGATACAAAGCCAGTCATTCGAGTACAAAGGATAACGTAAGCTATTGCTTAAAGCGTATTTTTTCGTTCAACAACCATTTGAGTTTCCAATTTTGTATTCGGGCCGTTGACAGTCTTTGTTCTTAGCGAGCTAAATAAAGTAGGTCTTTGACTAAATTCAGGGCACAAATATGAATTACACAATCGTTCTTACATTGGCTTACACAAAAATAACAATTTGCTATTTTAATTTTTTTTTACTTTTTTCAATTTACTATGACATGTTTTGGGATGCGAAACCAGTGAAAATGCACCTTTAGCACAGATGTAGAGATTTGTGTGATGTTATGTTTTTGGTCGGGCTATACAAGAAAGAATCTAGTTTTTTATTTATAAAATAATTTTTTTTTGTTTGACTTAAGTAAATCGAAAATGTTACCAAAGAAACAATTGTTACGAGAGATTTTATAAAACAAAACTGAAAGAAAGATAGCCCGTGGCAAAAAATGAATGGATTACTTTTATATAATACGTATAAATATTTTAAAAGTAAACTTTAAATTATTGAAAATATTATTCCGTAAGTATGTTAATGTTATGTTATAATTTAATTTTAATTTAATATAAATTTACTTGGAAACATTAAAATTATTTAACGCTTATTGAATTTAAACTATATTTCTCTATTTCTGTGCAAATATAAATTAGTTCGTAGAAAATCGATTTTAATGCAGTACATCGATTTGGTACAGTTAACACTTATGATATTACGAATACGTACATAAATAAATACATATATAAATACTAACTGTCGCCTACGACAACGTCTGCGCGAAATAAAAAAAAAAGTAATTAGTAGCTCATTTTACGTATTCATGAAACGATTTTAAATCAGAAAAATTAAAAAAGGTTGTGTTTTACTTTAGGTTTTTTTTCACGTGAAATATGTATTGATTTAAAGAGTTAGAAAACCAAAAAACAATTGCGAAATACATAAAAGAGTCAACACTACTAAAAGTTTAGGATTAATTCCACTGCATACAAAAAAAGTGAGATTAAATTTGTAAATAGCATTACGAATCTATTAGAAGTGAATTATAAAGTTACAAATGTGTATTTGGCAGTTCTATATTTAGCAATAGACCATAAGCCAAAGTAAAGGAATGCGAATAAAAATATCCTTGCGTCTTCTTTGTTACGACAATAAAAAACAAAAGGAAAAAAGCTCGTAAATATAATTAATATCTATCTACTGGAATCTATGGTAATCATTGAGGACATAACAAGTTGTGTTAAGTGATTTATGCATGTTACCGGCAAATCGTGTACACCGCCAGTTTGTAATTTGCCTAGACAAATCGTAAAGACTCGCCAAATTGCATGCTGCAAGAATTAATTCACAAATTAACCTGTCATCATACTTCTTACTCTTAGTAATATTATAAATGCGAATGTTTGAATGGATGGATGGATGTTTGTTTGAAGGTATCTCCAGAACGGTTGCATGGATCTCGCAAAAATTTGGCATAGATGTAGATTATAGTCTGGAAGAACACATAGGTTACTAATTAAGTTTTTTTTTAATTATGTGCGGTCGGAGTCGTGGGCGACAGCTAGTATTATGATAAATCAATAAATTGTTTTATCATTTGACTGCATTGTCATAAATACCAGTCCGCGATTTTTTTAATTGCAGCATAAAAATGACAATTAATGAAATGTCACCTTAACAAAGTGTTGAAACACGTCAATTTATGAATTCGTACCATATGCAATTTGCAGTTTTTACGATTTTCCAAGGCGAATTACAAATTGGCGGCATTCACGATTTGCCGGTGACACATACATGATTTTCCTTAAATTCTTGGTTATCTTTATAGACCATAAAGCGGCGCCGCACTGACCCCTATAGAAATCCGTTTGGATCCGGTTGCGACGTTCTTAATTCCCTTTTTTGGAAATTTTATGTTACACGTCTCGAGATATTTGCCTCTTGAAGTTTTATATTATTCAAATAATCTACAATAATGTTATTTACTATTTATGTTATACCTAATAATGTTAAAAACTAGATTAAACACCAAAACTGTGACAAGATAAAGACAAAAAAATAAGCTCTATGACAAGAGAAACAACATAAAAAAATATGTATTCAAAAGTGTTATGGACGAGCGTAGATATAAATGACAAAATCAATAACAAGAAAGCCTTTTCACCTCTTATTTATGAAAGTATTATACTATCTTACTTCTTACTAATATTATAAATCCGAATGTTTAGATGGATATTTATAGATGGATGTTTGTTTGAAGATATCTCCGGAACTGCTTAACGGATCTCGTTGAAATTTGACAATGTAGAACATAGTCTGGAAGAACACAGGGTACTTTTTAATTTTTTTAAAATGCGCGTGGGTGTCAACTAGTTGAAAGATGATAAGGGTTCCGTTTTTTTCCTATGAGGTACGGAATCCTAAAAAATATAAAAACATTTGATGCAATCTGCAATACGTAAATACGCTAAGTATTTGTGCACGTCTAGATCCTTGAAGAAGGTGAACCACCTAATGCAATATTACGCCGAGAATTTACAAACAAAATTCCTTATATATTAGTATGCGGATCTAACGACGACGTACACAAATATATTGTTAAAAAAAGACTGTCGACTGCTAACATCGTCAATGATGAATCACATGTAAATCCCGTGATGACAAAAATTTCAAAGAAACGTCCTTCATAAGGACACCCACAAACGATACTGTAGAAAATTTTCTCATTATTACTTTATGTGATTTCTTTATTAGTATATTTTAACAATATTATTATTTTATAATATATAAATATAAATAATATATTATGTTTTATATATATTTTTTCGGATATTAAGTTTACTCTATTAAAAATATGATAAATAAATGAATACGAAAATATAAATATGTGTAAATTTAAAATAAGATTTTTTTATATTATTAGTAGTACTTTAATAAAGTAAATAATTTTTTTATTAATATAATAAATAAAAGAATAATTTAAACAAAAGCATGTATTTTTATCGAACTGTTTATCTTTACATTCATTTTTAATAATGTTACAATAATTTGTGTCAAGGTCGTTTTTAACTTATTTATGTTTATATAAAATTGATAAAATTACTGTTTATAGGCCAAGCTATCTTGGTCGGCGGACTTACGTTATTTTAACAAAGCTGGCACTTTGTCAGCGGATGGATTAAGGCTTTCTGTTGGCAAAATTCCGTACCTTGAAGTAAGTAGAATATTACTCACAAAAGTGGGCCCCATAACAAAACTGTCTGCTCGTTTGCTCGCTCGTTCAGCCATAAGACGTCCATACTGGGCATAGGGCTCCTCCAAAGATCGCCACGATGATCTGTCCAAACTGAACAAAGTATTCAATTTGATACTTGGCCATCGTTCCAACTTCACTAAGGATTTTATGGTGAAAAGTCCCATTTGAAATGTCGTAAGTTTGGGATCCATGGGATCTTGAACTCATACCTACGATTATCATGTTTTGACAGTTAAACGTTCTATAAAATTGTCAATATTCAATTTTCCATTTATTAGATAACTCAATATTCAGGGTGTCCCAAAAGGTTACGTTCATATAATAGGAAGGGGGATGATAGGGGTGGTCACAAAGGTCACCAGAAAAATTAAATAAAAACTCCCCATTTGATATTAAAAAAAATGGCATTTTTTAAAAACTTTAAAATTTTACACCTTCTTATCGTCAATAACCCTTTATCAATATGAAATAAAAATAACAAAACAACTAACAAAGATTTTAAAGAAAATTAAAATTGCCCCAGAAGGTGTAAAATTTTTAAGTTTTTAAAAAATGTCATTTATTTTTTTTAATACCCAGAGGGGAATTTTTATTTTATTTTCTGGTGAACCTTGTGACCACCCCTATCATCCCCCTTCCTATGTACGTAACCTTTTGGGACACGCTGTATAATAAGCTTTACTGAAGATAAATGGTTAATTATGATCTATATATTATGATTTATATGACTTCCTAAATTAGAAAACCATTGACGATAAGGATATCCATTTAATATTCTAATTTTATATCGAATCCACTTTATTTTTGCGTTGATAGACTAATATGAATTTTAATAACTTCCTTAGTTTTTTTTCTTACAATGATTTTCTGCTCAACAATAGATTCACTCTATTATTTCTTGATTACTTATTAATATTATAAAAGCAAATATTTGGACAGATAGATGGATGTTTGTTAGAAGGTATCCCCAGAACTGCTAATTAGACAACATAGCATAAAAGAAAACATGGGCTAATAATTTTTTTTTTATCATTCACAGACTGAGTCGCAGGCGACAGCTACTCTATCTATAACTGTATACCTCTGTTCTTTATTACAAATGTAAATGCTATATTTTGGATGGATGGATATTTTATGGCCTATAACTCTAGATCAGGTGAACAGATCTTCTAGGATTTTTATGAAAGAACTAGCTGACGCCTGCGACTCCGTTCGCGCGGTATTAAAAAAAACTTCCAGACTAAGTTCTACGTCTTTCTCACAGTCATTCTCGATATACCTTTAAAAACAACCATGCAGGCATCCAAACATTCGTATTTATGATATTAGTAAGATAAATTAATCCTCTTAAAGTCTATAGTAGGGATGAGATTTTGATATTCTACTTCACGCGGACAAAGTCGCGATAGCTATCAAACGATAAGACGCGTCGCAAGTCCACGGGTCGCCGATTAGAAATAAAAACAAGTGTGCGTCAAACAAGCAAGTCAGTCTGCATTGAGTTACGGTGTTGGATATATTCGTGGAGCATTCGCTAACGAGAAGTGTTCTCATAATGATTTCGAAGATGATAATATTTCTGACGGTCGTGAGTTTGGCGTGTGCCGCCGTTTGGATGGGAAAGCCACCCAAAAAACCCCATAATTTAGGTATGTCAACTTTCTCTATACCGTTTGACGTATTTATGTTTATATTATTGAATTATTTTATGTGGTTAAAAATGATTTAAGAATCTGTGTAAAAGAATTATACATTTAATATTTTTGGAAATAATAGTGAAAGTTTATTTTATTTTAAAAATTAAGCTATATAATGACCAATTTAAGAAAAAAATTAAAAATAATTCGGTCCTTATATGTCGTCTTATGTATTTTATGTGTCCGTATGTAACAGATTAGTAAACATAAATTATGTTATTCTTTCTTTTCATAATCTACTCTCTACATTTTATTATTTAATTAAATATCGCATAATACAGAAATATTCAGATATGTACATAAACATAAACTCGGGGGAATCTTAATGCACTCGTCATGTGTAATTTTAATGAACAAGCGAAATAAACAGTGATTAACTAAATGAAGAGTATGTTCAAGTAACTCGATAATTGTAGTCATTAAAGCTTTTAAAATTTCGATTTTTAAGTTCATATCCAACTTAGGTAAAGCAACACGTAATGTATTATTTGGTTCATGGTCATTCTGATTAATTTATTTATAAACTAGCTGTCGCCCGGAACTTTGTCTGCGCGGAATAAAAAAAATAATTAGTAGTCTATGTATTCGTCCAGGCTATGTTGTATCGTCATCAGCTCACAAGACGTCCCCACCGAGGGGACCCATAAGTTAGGGGTGACTAGGCCATAGTCAACGGTGGAGAAGTGCGGGTTGGTTTACTTCACTCATATCTTTGAATTTTTTCTGAGATATGTGCAGGTTGCATCACGATGTTTTCCTTCACCGAAAGAACGTCGGATAAATGTACATATGCAAGTTGAAAATCAAGACCTGCAGATTGCGAGTCAATTGCTTGACTAGCTAGCTATGTTGTATATATTTACCAAATTCGGTGACATCCATGCAGCTGTTCTGCAGATACTTTCCAACTAACATCCATCCAAACATTCGCATTTATAATATTAGTAAGAAGTAAGATATGTACTCTGTATAAAATTCTTGTGTCATTGTTTGTGGTTGCACTTCTTTGAAACATCTAGACCTTATTTTTATATTATTTAAACATAAATAAGTATTTATAGAATTGACAATAGATCGTAAAATATATTTTATACTACAGGATGATTAAATAATCTTAATATTAAAAAATATATATTTTTTTATTTTAGCATTGGAACACATAAGTTAGTAATTTTAATAGCTACTTACAAGTAATTTAACAGTTTTTTTTTATAAAATTTAAATAGTTGCATTTTTTTGTAATTTTCGGTATATTTATTATTATAGCGCACAAATAACTGCTTCATTACAAAATATTGGTCATCAGAGTTACACAGGTCTTCATAATATATCTTATTATTGTCTTTTGACATAAGATAACCTTAGAGATAATATGTTGTATGACATAGTAGTCATTTGCGTTCGTTTATAAATACCTACATATTTCTACGGATAATAAACATATAAGATTTTATTGTTAGAATGAATGTAATTTTTATTCAATGGATCGTAAATGTCTACGGAAATAGACAATCATCGTGCGAATAAAAAAACGCAGATATCATAATGATTTCCTCCTAGGTTCGAATCTGCTATTCAATTTTTATCTTATACTAGCTGTCGACCGCAACTCTGTCCGCGAGGAATTAAAAATAACTTAATAAGTAGCCTATATGTTTCAGGCTTTGGTTTACATTGCCAAATTTCAGCAAATTTAGTTGACCCTTTCTGGAGATACTTTCAATCCATCCATCCATCCATCTAAACATTCTCATTTATAATATTAGTAAGATTATAGCAAGCTTCGAGTATTTTTTGAATGGTTAAAAGTTAAATTACACAATTTGCCTTTGTAAAAGGAAAGCTGTAGTTCCAAATTAAAAATATTAAAATCACAAATAAATCAAATAGTTTATTAATTGATAAAGCGGACGCGAATCGAATCGTCTTTATTGTTTTCGTTTAAACCTGTTTTGTTTTCGTAGGAATCTTCAGTCTCATCATTCATTCAATGAACGAGATTGCAGACGGCGCCAAGATGGCATTTTACAAGAATTATATCGGAATAGTCGCCGGCAAGATGGCGCCGATTAACAAATTAATCGAGATGTTTACTTCACATATTGTTTTGGAATATTTCTTTAATTGGATGCCACATCCGCTTCCTAATTATGACAGTAAAATTACTAATTAATAAAGAAATAAGTTTGATTAAGAATACGCATGGAATATTATCTCGCTCTCTAAAATCTGCTCTAGTATATTGTAGAGAATAACCGTGAGTTTCTGAGTTCGAAATCTCTGTTTAAAATATATCGTCATCTCTGTCATTATCTTTGACAAAACAGAGTAAGCAATATGTTTTAAACGAAGATTTTGGTCTCAGAAACTGACTATAAGTATACTTACTCTGACTTAGATAAAGATGTACAATTAAAATAATTAAAATCACTAATAACTTCATCAGAGCCTTAATACTGTTATTTAGGTATCGATTGTTAAATAGAATATACAAAAAACCAAACAAAACACGGCCGTGTTTTGGAATATCCTGTCCTGGACGTTATTTCCAAATTAATACGACTTTAGAGTCCTTTAAGAATGGAGCATATCACCTCCTGAAAGGTCAGCAACACATTTGCAGTTCCTCTGGTGTTGCAAATGTCCATCGTAGTTGATCACCTCGGTGTTCACGCCCTTTTCTCTTATAAAAATGCTGTACAGCTTGTTCATCATCATCAGCTCACTTTACGTCCCCACCGAGGGGCTCGGAGCCTACCCTAAGTTAAGGGTGATTGTTTATATGGCAATACTTAAATGATGATACAGCTCGTTACTACGCGTATATTCAAAAATTTACAAAATTAAATTTATATGACTGTCGTAAAATCAAACATCCGACAATCGTTTAACTGAAGGTCTGATTAAAGTAGTTTTTTGTTTTATTGCTTTTATCAAAATTTAACCATGAATTATTTAAACATTTACCTCGTTCTGACGTCATAGATTCAACAATAAGGTTAAATAAAACGATCAACTTTTTCCGCAACATCCAATCTCATACGTTTGTAATACGTAGTAGAGACAAGATATTTTAACTACCCCGATATATGATGTTGTGAAATTGCATTTATTATCATCTCTAATACTTTGAAAGATCGTATTTCACGTAAGTGCGTACAGCACAGTATGAAAATGAAAGTTTTGATATTGAACAAAAAAAAAACATTTTTCATAATATAGGTGGGGGTCTGTCTTTTTAACTAGTTAAAACTGTGTTTTGGGAGACAGCGCCAGCGACATCTTATTTATTACCTAAAATAAATTAAGAGTTAGTAAATATGTACATCGGTCAAGCAGTTTCCATGGAGTACGGTAACTAACAATGTGATACGAGAATTTTATATGTAATATTAAGTTGATTGTATGTTTGTTACAATAGATATATTGATTGCTGCACTTATACGTATTGAACAACAGATTTAAAAGATATTTATTTCGCCTCTGCAGGGTCAAGGTTCTTAATTGTAAATATGACACAAGGTCAAATTATTTTTGAAGAGTTCTTCACATAACTTTACTTTGTTTACTTAACGATGATGTCATTAAACATATAGACACGTCATTATTGTTTATTTCTTTTGGTACCCTACACTTATCGTATACCGTAGTGCTAAACATATGTCATGAAATTATAAACTAGACAGTTTATAATGCGTCTAGGTAAATCATAGAGCGTCGGTGGCTCAGGGGTCAAGCACTTGACTTGCAATTGTGTTTTTCGATTTCCGATTTACATATGTACATTTATCCGACGTCCTTACGGTGATGGAAATCATAGTAATGCAACCTGCACATATCTGAGAAGAAATTCAAAGATATGTGTGAAGTCAACCAACCTGCACTGGGCCAGCGTGGTTGACTATGGCCTAGTCACCCATAACGTAGGGTTAGCTAATAATGAGGCAAATTATCTTACCAATATTATAAATGCGAATGTTTAGATGGATGTTTGTTCGAAGGTATCTCTAGAACGGCTGAACGGATCTCGATGAAATTTGGAATACATATAGAACATAGTCTGGAAAAACACATAGGCCATTATATATTTTGTTATTTCGCGCGGGCGAATTCTCGGTCAACAGCTAGTAAACTATAAAATTTGTTACTCTATGAATTAAAAACATTTTAATGTTTTTAATAAGTTCTTTTAAACTTGGACTTTATCAAGTTTAACGCAGTATTAACAATTGCCATGAGGATGGGACAAAATAAAGAAAAATTAAAAACAATATATACCTGTAAATTTCGTTGAATAAAATTCGTTCTGTATATTTATAAACGCAAGGTCTTTCCAACAAAAAGAGTTCAACGCATTCATAAAATCGAAAATAGTCGCTCTACATTCCATGCATATTAACTTCTCCAATGAATATACGAATACAAAACAAAAATATATTCTAGTAGCTTCTGTTCGCTTGTAAATATTATAATAATAAAAATATCTAGCTAAATATATCCATATTCGCTTTACACTTGACCCATTATAATCATCACCCCCTATAGTCAATCACTAATATACAACAAGAACATCGCAAGCCAATGAGTAGGTCTTTAGTAATAAAAACTTTTTTTTATTCCAAATTAAATTTTTTACTGAAAAACTAACCCATAAAGTAGTTTTTGAGTTATCTATGTAAGAATCCGGAGAGGTAGTTTATATGTATATCTAAATTTCGAATTACTGGGGCGGGGGGGGAGCAGCTGCTACATGGATCTTATTGTAATTTAGCATAGATGTAGACCATTGGAAGAACACAGACGACTAATAAGTTTTTTTTTTAATTCGGCTCGTACACAGTCGTGGGCGACAGTTATTTATAACAATATATTCATTTAATTTTAATTCGCAAAATGTGTGTTAACCTTTATTTCTTTTGTTTACAGAAAATAAAGAAGGTTGTTACATTCGGGAGATAAATGATGTAATATCATACAATGACGAGATTTCACCAATCGGATACTGCGTAAGAATCGAATGTGGAAAAGATTTTATACATTATGCTTCGTAAGTATTTCTTTTAAACTTATTGATAACTATCGCACGTGACTCCTTCCGCGCGGAATGAGCAAAAAAATAGTAGCCTATGTGTTCTTGCAGACTATGCTAAATTTCAGCGAGATCAATGCAGCCGTTCTGGATATATATTCTCTTAAATCTTAGCTGAACTAACCTAAAATAAGCTTACAACTAATTTAGACAAATAGATAAAATATTGATAAATAATATTAAAAAGAGGCTGACAGCGCAACGCAAAATGTAAAAAACTGAGCTATAAGTCTATTCCAGTCTGTAATATATACATCTACTCAAAATTACATCCAAAGCCGTACAGCTGTTCAGGAGTTATGTGATTTTAAACATATTTATTTACGCAAACTTCAGCTTTTTAGTATGTAAGACAACAAATATTAGTAATACTACTAATATTATGTAAATACCTGATAATTCATGTTTTTTTTTCAGATGCGGCGTGGTTGTAACCGATGATCCTAAATGTCACATCACGGAGACAGACCTTCATAGACCTTACCCAGATTGCTGTCCAAAAATCAATTGTGAACTGGATAATAATCTTGTTTAAATGCAGCAGATGCGGTGTTATATGTTGGGAATTAAATGGTCACTAAGAGAGCCACTAAATGTAGATTATTTAATGCGAAATCTACACTAAAAGACTGCAGTAACCAATGACTGTGTGAAGTGTGGCAAAAAGATATTTAAGGCTATGAATTGGAAAAAGTTAAGATAACTTTCTTTTTACTAGTTACAAATGTATACAAGCCTTTTTATTTGTAAAAAAGTTATAATAATTGAATCTTTTCAGATTAATTTACATCAGTGTATAAAATGTATTAAACAAAAAAAATAAGCATTTAGTGTGTGAATAGGGTTTAATATTTTTTTGTGAAATTATGTGAACGCGCCTTTATTGTCAGTTTCCACTATATAAAGACTTGTATAAAAATGTATCTTTTTAATCTTATGCCATAGAAAAAAAACAGAGATATAATTTTAACTAGATATGTCAACAATGTAAATTCACGGTAAGAATATAAACATAACTGTGATATAAATCTGAATATTAATAAGTATATATCATACACTTTATCTTAGTATATTATCGATTCCCTGTTCCCGACATTACACCATTTGTCATGCTGCTTGAAGACTTTAGTTCCTTGTAGAAGAGTTTGAACGTAATTCATACTCGAGAAGCTATCTTGCCGCCAAATTGTTATAAAATAATTTATTTTTTAATTAAAAAGTTTTTTTTTGCAATTTCCTTTTCATTACAATACAATTTAAATAACCCATTTAATAAAAATTGTTATAAAAAAAAATCAAGACTACAAAAAAGTTTAATGATCCTGCATTAATCAGCTACTGTACGTTCAGTTCAGCCCCGGATGAACACTGAGTCTGGACATACAGACTTACCGCACGGGGGGTGCACCGGCAATAATCAACGGTGCACCCCCAATACGGAGCAGGGAGATATAAAACCTAATGCTGGTTACCAACGAATCAATCTATTTCTCCCAATATCTTGTCTTATATTTACCTAACTGTCTGACTAAGCATCATTTACTATGGTCGTTGATACGAACAGCTACCTTCCAAAGTTCCTTCAAAATCGGGTCAGCCGTTTTGAAGATAATTCGAAAATAATAAAAGTTATTAAAAAAAACTTTACATTTATTTGCTGCTTTATTGTCTCAGGCGCTTAAAACTAAACATAATTAAGACATTTTTAATTAGAAATCAACATTAACTATATATTAGAGACATGTAGCAATATTATACTAAAATTCAACAAAAAATATGTGAATACAGTGAACGTAGAATTTTACACTAAAAAATTTTGTGCATTCATAATAATAATATTAAGAGAAATTATGTTGGCAAAATTCAATCGTGAATTTAATACGAGATTTTATATAAAACCATAACTTTCAAGAATTTACGACGCCGATATCACTTCAGGTTATAAATTTAGCTTTACGTTATTATCCCAGATTTGACTCACAATTTCATTTCAATCCCTTAAAAACCAAATTGAATGTTACAAAGATACTAGATAATATGACGAATAAAATTTCAATAACAATGCAAATAACAAATATGTGATGAAGTCAGAAGACAGGGGTGAAGTGGAAGCTATTCCGCGTTTCGTCTGATGAGTGTGCGTCCCGGAGGCCTTATATAGTCCTCTTTCCCTTCCTACCATCTTTCTTATAAGGAAAGGATGGGAAGTGGAAGTGTACTTTCCGGATAAGAGGATGCATGGAAAGGGAAAATATTTTCTTTCTTTGCATCCTCTCCTCCGTCGATTAAAGGTAGGCAACGCATATGTTATTGCGTATGTCTATGGGCAACGGTCACCTCGCTATTTCAGCGATTTCAGGTGGCCGCTCGCTCGTTTGCCTCCTTCTGATATAAAAAAATATAAAAATAAATTGTTTTTACAAGCTACATCAATCAACAAAACTTTTCTACTAAAACCCTCCTCAATATCTTTCCCGAAGGATTTTTTGGTATTTCATTTATAAATGTTACTTCTTTTAACCGTTTATATGGTGCTACTCGTTTAGCTACAAACGCCATTATGTCTTCTTCATTCACTTTGGCACTATCTTTGACAACTATAAATGCTTTTGGTTTTTCGCCAGTTTTCTCATCTGGTATCGGAACAACGGCTGCATCAAATACTGCAGGATGCTCTTTACATACACTTTCAAGTTCAGCTGGTGGAACTTGGTACGCGTTTACCTGAAATACATTGTATTTTCCAATCTTAGTGCTTTCATATAATCATTTTTTTGCTATGGTAGAGCGCGCTTTAACATTTTCGCACGTATTGGCCAGGTTCGCCCGGTGAAATACCACGACCACACAAAAGACAGGCAGTGGAAGCAATTCCGCGTTTCATCTGATGAGTGTGCGTCCCGAATGCCTGAATATTTTAGTCCTCTTTCCCTTCTCATCCTTTCCTTATAAGAGAAGTGGAAGTGGATTTTCCGGATGAGGGGATGCATAGGAAGGGAAAATATTCTCTTTCTATGCATCCCCTCCTCTGTCGATCAAAGGTTGGCAACGCATCTACAATTGCGGATGTGCAATGGTCGCTTAGCTATTTCAGCGATTTCAATTAGCCGCTCGCTCGTTTGCCACCTTATAATATAAAAAAAAAATATTCGTGCCACACAAAGTGGAGTAATTAATTGTTAAAATATCATAGTTTATATCCAGACTAATGTAATGTAATCCAGATCTTATATTATGACGGATATTTACCTTGATTAGCTCCTTGAGTCTATCTGCTATTGTCACAGCTCCAAAATCATCTACTTTTGCTAAGTCTCCAGTTCTCAGCCAACCGTTTTCTAAAAATACTTGGTTATTTGCTTCTGGATTGTTCTTGTAACCTTTCATTATATTTGGTCCCTTTATTACTAATTCTCCGACCTATAATGATATTAAAATACAATTAATTACAGAATTAATATAGAGTTTTAGTCATTTGATCTTTCTTTAAAAACATGGAAACGTTATCAAGTTTAACGTATGATTGTGGCGTATATCAGAACTGTAGCATTCGTTGTGCTATATTTGGCTCGTTCACGTACCGACACGTGTTGCCGGCTCAAAGGTCTGACATCGGCTGACGTCCCCTCTCTCCGGCATGTACTTATGGCGTGTACGCTCGAGACAAACAACACTACGTTTATGCATACACTACAAGAACCAAAAACATTTTCTCATTTAGTTTGTACCATCCTTCTATAATTTTATTGTATATCAGTAAGATCATAGTGACGATTTACGTTTTCTGTTATTTTTACTTTAAGAAAACTGTAGTTCTCTAATTTCTTACCTCATCTGGTCCTAGATTGTTATTATTACCATCAATTATCCTTAGGGAACTGTTAGGTAAAGCGAATCCTACTTTTGTGTAGTCCTTGTATCCAATTGGATTAGCAGTTGCAAGTGGACTGGTTTCCGTAAGACCGTAAGCTTGGGCGAAGTGGGCACTGGGCTGAAACATTACAAGTTTTAAGTTAACTTATGTTACTTTGAAGTTTGATCAAAATATAAAAGGTATCACTAACGTTACAACTACATTGTATCTCAAATTCCTTTTGTGCAATTTCTTCTACAACTCTTTGTTTATTTATCTTTTCACTCCCTCCGTTCAGGTAATTAACCTTTATTTTAAGGCTGTTTTATTTTTGTTTTATTACATAGAAGTAACTGCAATTTTCCTTTCCTGAAGACCTTGCGTAAGTAGAATAAAGAATAACATCTTAGAAAAAAACACTTACTTTGAGTTTACTTAAGAATTTTTCAATATCTGCCACAGGCAAAGGTGCAGCTCCACATGTTACGCATCTCAAGTGTTCTAAATATGTTGGTAGCACTTGAGGATATGATCCCATGAACAATACTGTAAAAAATAATTGGTTTAAACCAAAATTTATTTAAACTGAAATAGACATCATAAAGATTGTTATATTATTCAAAAACGCATTTCATTCTTAGATTGAAGTATTAATCGAAAAAAGTGCGATAAGATTATAATATTTTTTATTGGATCTTGTAATTTAAAATCAATAGATACATTTTATTACACAATTTATTAGATAAGCAAATTCGAATATCTAAAGAAATAATACAAACATACCTGTTGGTGGAGACAAGTAGAACAAGTTTAAATTAAAATTTGAAAGTATATTAACGAATGTTTCAGGTCTAAATTGTGGGACAGTCACCAACTTCGCTCCGACTGAGAACTTATGAAGAGTGACAACTGTTAATCCATAACTATGAAACATCGGCAAAGAGACCAGTACACTGTCTTGGTGTGATTCTGTGGAAGAGTATATTTCTCTTGATGTTTTACAAAATCCATAAAAAGTATTTTAGTCTTGCTTACATCGGACATGATGATTTTAAAAAATTGTTGTTCCAATTTTTTGATTTGTCTGCAAGTAATATTTTGAAAAGAATATAACAGCGTTAGACGCCAGCAACACCTGATGTACGAAAGGACCGGACCGACCAGTGCAATACTCCGAACCCTTAGGAGACATGCGTGTAGTGGAAGTAATTCCGCGTGTCGTCTGATGAGTATGCATACTGAAGGCCTAATTTTAGTCCTTTTCCCCTTCCCACCCTTATCTCATAACGAAAGATTTGGAAGGGGACAACAATTAAATGGAGGCAGGGACACATAACAAGGGAATTATTCTCTATCGGTGCGTCTCTTCCTTCGATTAAAGATTGGCAAGTCAGCTACAATTGCCAGCCGATGCTTCACTATTTGCCGAATTCATGTGGCCGAGTGATCATTTGCCACCCTATAATAAACAAAACTTACCTGTTGTAAACTCGTATTGTCTACATTCTGTATCCTGTTGTACTAAATTAGCTACGATGTTTTTATTTGTCAATTCAACGCCCTTTGGTAAACCAGTAGTTCCACTAGAATAAGGTAGAAATGCAAGGTCTTCTTCATTTCTTTTAACTTCTTTTAATATGCCTACATCTACATGATTGTCTTCAACTAATTCTTTAAAGGATATGGTCCCTTCTGGTAGATTTCCGTCTAAATTAATTACTATAATAGGAATATTTCTTTGGCTTAGTTTTAATGCTTCCTTGACCGTGTCAATTGTTTCTCGGACGACGAAAATTAATTTTGTGTCAGACATAGTTATTTGTCGTTGAATTTCGTCTGGAATTTATTGAGGTGTTATCATATTATTTAACATTTATCGTGGTGATCAGGGATTAGTTTACGACTGTTATCTGTTACTTTTATTTTTTCCACGACTTCGTGTGCTTGTATAACCTCTTTTGTTCTACCAAGGAGGATGGATGGCCATATAATATTGGACTTTAAGACCAACTTAAGGCATCATTCTTTTGGGCCTCAGATTTTAAATTTGAGAGATCAGAGCTTATATTTGTTTTGTTTAAAATAATACTTACATGCTGTGTAACTTGGATTCATGGTAGAGATGACGCCTCCGGCGTTAAGTGAACCAATCAGGGTCGTAAGGTATTCGGGCATGTTCGGCAATATAACTCCGATTGTATCTCCATTTTCTATTTTTAATTTCTTCCTCAAGTTAGCACCAAGCCTTTGCGACTGCTTATGTATTTGTTCGTACGTGTATTGCCGACCCGTAATTCCACATATCTAGAACGACAAGTTTCATCTTACATATCTCACTAATATTATAAATGCGAATGTTTAGAGGGATGGATGTATGTTTGTTTGATGGTATATCTACAACGGCTGAGCAAATCTCGATGAAATTTGGCATTAATATAGAACAGTGTGCAAAAACACGTAGTCTACTAATTGTATTTTTTTATACACAGCGACAGCTAGTCTGTACGTAATATCGATTTTTTTTCATGTATAACTGTGAATTATTAAACCATTTTATAATGCGATGAACCTTTGGATGTTTTGAGAATTGTCGGTAGAAAGCGCGCTAGTTTTTTCACTAGCGTGATTTTTTAAAAAGCTAGACCCAATATGTAACTGGTGTCAAATGACATTAACACAGAAAAAAAACGTCACAAGCCAAAATACAATTGAACACTGTTTAAGTTTTTATGAGTAGGCCCATAGGTGTCTTCTTTCAAGGTCAACGACGTCAAGGTAAACCTGATTTAAATGCCGTTTGAACAGACGACGTTCGATTTTTTTTAGTTGTATACATATTTAAAATAAACGTCGTATTTTTTATACAGCCTAATTTAAATAATATAACTGTCATTGTTTTTATACGCAGCGATGAAAAGCTGATAACTCGTATTGTCACAAAAATAATGTTTTGTTATAACTTTTTAATTCTTAATAATGATATCAGATTAAATAAATTTCTAGTACTTTATCAAAAATTATATCGGAGTATAAGATACTTCGTGTCTTTATAATATGTCACTACATTTGTAATTTAAATACCTTCTTTACAGTTAGAAGATTGCAAAAAATAGAAATGTCCGCAGCTTATAGAAGTTAAAAGGTTTAGTTGTGTTTCATTACTCTAATGGTCATAATAGGGGATAAACAGAATGATAATATTTCTTCTAGGAAGAAGATTCATTTATCCCGTCAACAAGTCCACTTCCATTTATAAGAAGAAATAGAGGCCTGTCTCGAAAGTACTTGTATTTACTTAAGAAATAAAACTGTTCTTCTATTAGTGAACAACTTCTTATTACAAACTGTTAATTCTTTCTAGAAGCCCAAAACATTCTACACTCTTTAAAATTGTAAATTAAAAATATTGTTACCGCTGCAGTTTTCGTTGCCCACTTCTCCAAGTTGTTCACGAGATGTTCAGCAACGCTAACATTTGGAATTTCTATATCTTTAAACGGTGATTTGGCAATTTTATCACTTGTCCATACATGTTTCTTCTTTATTAATACACCAAGTAAGTTTCTAAACTCATGTTTAAATGTTTTATTTATCAATTGCGTTCTAAACATGTCAACTATATTGTTTTTATATGGAATACGTAATACGGGTTTTCAATCGCAACTTAATAGACCTAACTCACATAAAGTCCGCAATTGACTGAAGTAATCAAACAGCACTGACCATGACTGCATTGTGACCGTTGTATAAATAAAGACGATCTTTGAAAACGAACACGACAGTATTTATGCTGTAAAATAATTTATTTATTAACTCTTATTGCTATTGTAAAGTATACAAAGTCATAATTAAAACTAATTTTATAATTTTTTCTAATTATTGGCCACGGCACTATTGCGCTTCCGTCTGCGAAACCCCCTGATAGTAGCTGACCCTATTCGAAAAAAACAACAAAAGGTCTCACATCGGTAACCTAATGGTGTCGTAATCTCGGATTTTAATTTATTTCGGGTCTCTCACTTCTTCAAAATTTATATAACTAATGCAAATTCTGTCTCTCTTTCTCTTCTTAGCTTGTATCCCGTATCGTTAACTAATCTACTAACTAATCGTTAACTCTAAATACAAAATTAACTTTTTGTTTAACGTTCGTTATTATTAATGCATTTTAAAATAGCATTACCAAATCTTATTACGCTTCGGTGTAAATTAGGACAGTGCCACCAATTATCATACTTGTTCAATATATAAAGATAATTTTGGACGATTTCGATAACACCGCAAAACGTGGCCATTCAAAGTTCAATGCTATTTATTTTGTTCAGTAACAATGTAATATTCTAATTTAATAAAATGCCATCTAACCCACCCAGAATGGTGAAGTTGCCACTGAGGAAGAACCTAAGTGTAGAGTTAATGTAATAAAACACTATGCATCTGTTCATGTAGACACTAAAAATACAGTGTGAAATAACTTAACAGTCTGGTACATGCGACAGTAAATGTTCATTGTTAAAACGAAATTTTATTCGGTAGTTATCCAATTTTTATGTTTTTCTTTGAAGAGGCTAAAGGTGTCTTTGTTTAAATAATCCGCATTTTTATATAGTATATACAGATGTAAGAAATCTTTATCTTATATATAAAATTCTCGTGTCACAATTTTCGTTCCGATACTCCTACGAAACGGCTTGACCGATTCTTATGAAATTTTGGGAGCATATTCTGTATGTCTGAGAATTGGCTACTATCTATTTTGTAATCCCGCGCAGACGGAGTCGCGGGCAACAACTAGTGATTTCTAAAAACAGGATGTAATTTGATGACGAATAAATTTTTTGTTACTATCGTTTTTTTTTAATACTAGTCAATTCATAAGGCATTTATGACATGTCGGAATATTTGTCGAGTCATAAATACGTTTTATTTCTGCAAATCACCTTCATGTTCCAAAACAGGTAACATCTTTGTACTGCTAAATAGATAGTTAAAGAACAAATGATGTTTACGTCCACGCACATACATATAGACACACCTAACCGTGTAAATCTATCAATTATTATAATTTAGTATTAGGGTAAATGAGTTAGTTATTGCCGTTGGAAAGCCTTTAACTTTCAACTTACTATACTCAATTTTATATGAAGAATATTTTTTTGGAACTTACAATGCATTATGAAAGTACAAATCAGATTTCAGAAATTTGTTATACATTTGACAACCTAAATTAGATTATTTTATATCATACAAGCTGTTGCCCGCGACTCCGTCTGCGGGATTATAACATAGATAGTAGCCGATTCTCAGATATACAGAATATGCTCACAAAATTTCATGAGAATCGGTCAAGCCGTTTCGGAGGAGTATGGGAACGAAAATTGTGACAAGATAATCTTTATATATATAATTCTTCTGTGAGTGTGTATGTCACTGAACTTCTCTAAAACGACTGGACCGATTTTGATGAAATTTTTTGTGTGTGTTCAAGGGGATCTGGCAATGGTTTACATTCACAATTTTCATCAAATATTAACTTCATATTAATTTATTCAAATTAAAGACGTGTAGACAGGACAACGTCTGTCGGGTCCGCTAGTTTTATATATAAGATATATTACAAAGACTAGGGCATGAGAAGAAAATTAATAAAGTTGTTAAGGACGTTCGATATAGAGCTGTGATAAATAAAAAAGAAGACTAGTAGATACTGTTCTGGACTCTTGTTATAGAGCAGGGCAAAACCTATATAATTTTCTATCTGTTAAGTGCCATACGTGGCAATTACTTTTAATATAACAAAGATAGGAAATAAAACAACATATTGGATGTACTATAAAATTTATTTGGAACATTAAATACAAGTAAATAAGTGTATAAATAATTCTAAAAGTAACCATACTAGCTGTTACTAAAAAGGAAGGAACCATGAGTTTCGCTATAAATCCAGTAGAAAAATATGCGATCTCAATTATTTTGTCCAAAGAGAATGAAGCATGTTCTTTTACATGTGTTTCGGTGAAGAAAAACTCATGGTAAAATAGACTAGAAGAAACATTGAGTTTCGGCAGTATTTTTCTCATTCAGGATGAAGAAAATTTAGTTTAAAATCGACCTGCTTTACCTTGTTTGAAAGCCCTTACAATAGAGTAATAATTTATTATATATATAACTTTTTTAAAATATAAAACTGCCTTTTTATAACTAGATAAAACAAATGCTAAGATTAATAAAAAAATATAATATTTGATAACAATCCTGACAGCTTATTCAAGTAGTACCTTTCATTTAAAATATTGCTCTTTATTGTAACATACCTTTTGCAAATACTTGTGCCTTATGAGACCCTTAGTGAAGATTTTTTAATCTATATTAAGGGACACCGAATACAAAAAAAACAGTGGTAATAAATGTCATTGTGTAGATTTTTTATTCATTTGTTAATTATTAAAATAAATACAAAATAAAAATATTAAACAATAATGGTCCTTTCCAGTCTTATTTACCCTATTTACTTAATTAACAATATTATTAAAATAACAACGTAAATACTTAAAAACTATAGACCGACAATATTAAAATTTATAGACCAAAATGATATCATTACGGTATAATGGGTTGACGATAGACAAACACTGAGATTAGAAGTTCTATATGAAATTCTTAGTAAGTTAGACTTAAAGTAGATTAATATAGAAGATTTAAGATAGTCCAAAAAAAAAACTGTAAAGGTTAACATTTTCATCGAATATCGAAAAACAGCTCAAAGCGCACGACAAAGTATCCATTCCACTTTATAAACCATTTTATTAAGCAGAAAACAATTATGTAAGTGAAAAGTACAAGTATTAAAAAAAATACTTATATAATAGTTTTTTTGGAATGCCACATAAATGATATCCAAATTTCGATCTTATCTTAATTTTTGTTTTATGAAATGTTCAATACAATATATCAGTTGACTCTTACTATTAAAATGCCTTAACAGTATTTCTCTTTCAATATTCGTCTTAGAATTTTTCCCGCCGAACTTTTTGGTATACTGTCTATGAACATTATATCGTTAATTTTTTTGTAAGGTGCTACCTTCTTTTCAACAAATTCACTTATCTCTTTAGCACTAGTATTAGAATTTGATTTTAGAACGACAAAAGCTTTAGGAGATTCTCCTTTTCTTGGATGAGGTACACCAATGACAGCTGCCTCACTAACGTCAGGATGTTCACGAAGAACTGCCTCCAATTCCGCCGGAGGCACTTGGAAGCCTTTTACCTGTAATTTACGTGGTCAAATGATTACTACTGGCTATGATAATTATGATCTCGATGTTCTATTTTCGGTTGAAATAGTCATAAAGCCCCATTAATGGGATTATTCAGGATATCATGGATGCTATCAAGAATGTTAAATAGAATTGAAATAGACTCATACGTTTCGTTATGCCGTTCAGCAGTGGACGAATTAGGGATGAATATGATGATGATACGTTTCGTTTTGCGATAGAAGTGCTGTTTTTTGTTTTCTCCTATTATTTATTTGCTCCTTAGGAGAGAAGAATTTGGGACACATATTTAAATATTCAAAACATCTGTAACAACTGACTATGAAAGTCACTGTAACCACACTTCTCGATTTTTTTGCTACTTCCTTTAATTAAAGAAAAGATATATAGCGTAAGTAGTACGTAGAAAGAACTAGTACTATCTAGTAGTTCTGGGAAATATTCTTAAAACAGAGTTGAAAAAACTAACTTACATACAATCACTCGCTTTACCATTTAAAAAAGTAATTTTAATTACTTCCTTGTTAACTATGTTCTCAGATAGACTAGTTATTTTATTACTGAATGAATAGACCCACATTTAACTGTTAGTCAGAGTGAGTTATAACTTAATTAAACTTATTATTATTGAATAGACTCTCGAACTATTGAATATTGGATACAGACGTTCTATTTGATTTAAAGCCAGAAGAGTTTCTGTAAGGGTTCTCTTATAAAATCAATATTTAATTGTACAACATAATATTGACCTAATAAAAGTCAGCATTTGTATGTTAATATAAATGCTTCAGTGAAAAAATACTTGTATTTTTATTATTTCCTTGCATTGATGAAAAATAAAAAAGAAGACTATTATTTAGAGCAATGCATTTGATATGTTTAGAATGCATGAGTTTTGTAACAACAATAATATTAAAACGAAAGTAACCAATAGTTTTAAATCTATTGGTTAATTCATTTGAATAGATGCCACCATGTTAGGAACCAACGACATTGACACTTGACTTTTTTTCTAATATTATGCATACCTTGATCAATTCCTTCAGTCTATCCGATATGGTGATTACTCCCGTGTGGTCCGCTATCGCCAAATCTCCTGTCCGGAACCAGCCGTCTTCGGTGAATGTTTCTTTGTCCGCAACGGCATTGTCTTTGTACCCCCTCATCACTTGTGGACCTTTTACTAACAGCTCGCCTTTCTGGAACATTTAAGATGTATTTTAAAATTCTTTGAGAAAAATCGTGGAAAATTTAGACTTCTGTTTTGCAACTAAACATTAATTATTTTGTTAGTCTTCTGTTTTTTTTTATCATATGGTGGCAAACGAGCGAGCGGCCACCTGAAACATACATAATTGCATATGCGTTTGCCTACCTTTAATCGACGTAAAATGGGATGCACAGAAAGAAAGTATTTTCCCTTCCCATGCATCCTCTCATCCGGATCTCTTCCACTTCCCATCCTTTCTTTATAAGAAAAAGGATGGGAAGGGAAAGAGGACTAAACTTGGACTTGGACTAGGACTTTGTTTTATTATTCCCGTAAGTTTAACTTCATGGAAATAAGATTAATATTTGATGAAATATCTCACCTCATTAGCACCTAAAGTTTTCATTTCACTGTTGACAATCTTCAGATTCGTGCTTGGTATAGGGTATCCAACACAACCGTAGTTATCCATACCTCGAGGAGTTAAGGCAACGACTGGAGATGTTTCAGTTAATCCATAACCTTGTCTGAAATCTAGCTTACGCTAGAAAAATCACATCACTATTATATTTGTATTGATGTTATCATATTAAGTTCCTATATTCCTACTTTATCGAAAACAATGGAAAGCGATGGTTACAAGTTAAGGGTGTGCTTATTTGTTACTTTATCGTCTTTTGTTTTTATCTATGCTATAAATTATGATACACAGGCTATTAAAAGTAATTTTTACCTTAAAATATTTATTTCTCCAAGACTACTAAGGTTTACCAATGGAGAGCGTTGTCAAAGCATTATTATGAAATTAATTAATATCTTCCAATTTACGTTTAGTACATAATTCCAGTAAAGTACGCTAATCAAATTATGACGTTGATTTAATTTATGTATAACAACCTCTGATTTAGTGAAGAATCTCTCTGCATCGGTTTCTGATAGCGGCGCAGCGCCGTTCACGATTGTTTCCAAGTACTGGAACTTCTTCGGTGAACTAGCAGGATGCGTCGCCATCATTATCACTGAAATTATTTTAAATGTCCTCTGGTCATTTCAATCCACTCTCATGTACTTCTTTAAACTCCAGTGGCAGTCAAGTTGACAACAACTTTAACTGACGAAAATGAAGAAAGTTTTTATTGGCCAATGATTATCAAGATGATAAATGACCATTTATTGAACACTTGATGATCAGTACTACAATACAATACTATTAATTGGTAATATATAAATTACAGGCCATAAGATTACGATTTACCAAAAAAAATTATTTTCTATTTTTTTTCTTAACTGATTATCTTCGATTTGATTTTCGTGATACTCACCAAGTGGTGGTGCAACAAATAAAACATTTGTCTTGTATTTTTCCAGTGCATCTAGCAATGTTTCCGGTTGAAACTTAGCCACCGTCACCAGTTTTATACCTTGTGACATTTTGTGAAACATCAATACTGAAGCACCGTATATGTGGAACAGAGGTAGAACTGTCATCACAGCATCCTGATGTGTGGCTGAAAAAAAGAAAGTAAGTTAAGACACATTTTACTATGATTTGGAAAACATTCGAGTTTAATTTTCTTGCCTATAATTTTTTTATCTGGAACTTACTTATATAATTTAATTGCTTATCTATAAGATTGTTTACATTTTTAATGGCTGATAAAATTAATCTTGCTTTAGATATTATGTACTATCAGTCACGTTATTTATCTACAAAGTGTTTATTAAACAATAATTACTTCTTTACAATCTAGTTTTT